AGTTTGGGAAGACGTATCGTGCCAACACATATGAACGGGACTGTGGCATGTTTATATATGATCCCGGGCTCCGGGCCCACGGCCCCCCCCCTCCCCTTCAAATGGTATGGTCCCAGGATTTCTCGGGCCCCCCCCCCCCAGATGGGATGGTCCCAGGGACGACGACGACGACGACGACGGCGACGACTACGACGACGGCGACGACGACGACGACGGCGACGACGGCGACGACGACGGCTGCGGCGGCGGCGACGACGCCGGCGGCGGCGGCGACGACGACGACGACGACGATGACGACGGCGACGACGACGATGACGACGACGACGAAGACGACGGCGAGGACAACGAGGACGACGAGGACGACGAGGACGACGACGACGACGACGACGACCTCTGAACCACCACAGCACCACACCACATCCACAGGGGGGGGGGGGCACCGCAGCGCAGCACCACGCCACGCCCACCTCTGAACAACCGCAGCACCACACCGCATCCACAGGGGGGGGATGGGGGGCACCGCAGCGCAGAACCACGCCACGCCCACAGGGGGGGCGGGGGGGGCCATCGCGCGGGGGGGGGGGGGGCAATGGCATCAGCATTGGGGAGGGGGGGCCCAAGCCCTGGACCACGGAGATCTGCGGACGCCTCCGCGCCAGGGCGGGGGGTGCTGCGACGGGAGAAAACCAGAGAAACTACTTCATACGTCGGCGCCGAGGATGAAACGCAACGCCAGATGGGACGGCGCGAGAGAAACAGCAAAAGGAATCGGCCGTGGACCCCTCGAACGCATCCCGTCTCAGAGGCACATGACCCACCAGCTCGCGTAGCGCGCGCGCAAAGCTCGGAGCATCAGCGGCGGGCAATGCGAGCCGCGGCGAAGGGGGGCGAACGAACGAAGCTGCCGTCGCCTGGAAGGGCCAGGGTTCTTGCAAGGGAGGCAGGCGCGCCTGCGATGCGCTGGCCCTTCAAGACGACCAAGCCAGGTTGCAACATGCGCACGATGACCCAATGCGCGCGCGGAGTTGCAACATGCAGGGGTGGAAAGAGGAAGGCAGACGGATTCAAGACTGTGGAAAACAGATGGTGCAACCCATCACTGCCGCGAGAATGGCGCACGCGCGCTCTAGCATTCAGATCATGCTTCAGTGCTGTGGGCCGCAAATACCTCCCCGAGCCCCAGTGCCTCTCGCGACCGAATGAAACCAGGGCGTCTTTCCACGTTGGAAAGCACTCTGGGCGCGAGCGGGTCGGACAGGCAACCGCTCCTCTGGATTGTTCCACCCCGCCAAGCCTTCTCTCTGCAGTTGGTGGCCCTCCAGACCCATCCGGTCCACAGTCATATTTGCAACTTTTCCTGTCCAGCGCCGTTTGCTTCTGGATAATTCTCTTCCCGACATTTGCAACTCGCTTGCCTGTCCGATCGTTCCGCGGCATGGGTAGTCCCCAAAATCCCAATTATGTGCCCCTCGTCGGCGCCGTCTCTTTGGGCCCACAGCTCGGCGTGACATCGTGATCTGCGTGTTTCGCAACCGCCTGTTTTGCGCCACTGTAAGCTTCCATGGCTCTGAACACACCAGAAGACGGTATTCGAAGTAGTCGCCTCGAACAGGCTAAGCCGTCTATGTGCGAGGCGCCCCGCTTCATCCACATGCCCTTAAAGCGGGAGATTGTTGCCCGTCTTGTTCAGAGTCTGGTTTCGAACTCCGCGTTGGCACTTCAACTTTCAACTCATTGTAATTGTTGTGATGAGAACTTCGACGCCTTCGTTGCAACTGCGTTTCGAATGACCATCACCCGCCAGTGCAATCATCCTGGTCCTGAACAGTATGTATAGCTCCATACGGTTATGCCGTATAACAAAGATATCGCAGGGTACAAACATCAGAAGACTTGGATGTCCGAAAAGGATACGTGTGCGGACGCTTGGAGAATCGTATGGGCATGATCAGTGACATGTCAGCAGATTTGGTGAGAGACGGTTAGTCTTGCTTCGATCCTCTCTTCAAGCATGTGGCCATGTCATACGTCGTGCAGTTTTGTACGGTCTACGATAAGCTAGACACTAACGCGATCAAGGCCGCCAGGAGCAGACCGCGTACATTCAGCTTGACGCCAACACCAAGAAGCACGACTTTCAAATCACCCGCGGGGTGCGGCAAGGAGGTCCGCCGTCTCCGGCCCTTTTTTCCCAGCACTGCAAGGGAAGCGATGGAACCCCTGAAGGAGGAGAGGAAGAAGAGGTCAAAGGCTCCGTCGTCGGAAGGGACGTGCTGGGCGAAACCAGGATGACGTACGTCATGTCCGCTGAGGGCACGATCATCGTGGCCAAGACCGAGCGCGTGCTTGTGGAAATGGCGATTCCTGGCGCATGCGGCAGGGCTCCAAGCTTACCCTGGGAAAAGCAGCATCCAGTGCATGGGGATCGACGCGTCTTCTGGGGAGCATGTCATGCTGGCGAGGGGGAAAAGAAGCGAAACGCTGGTGCACTACATCGTTCTGACAGGAAGCCGTGAGATGCCAAAAAGATGGCCCGATCTGTCTTCTCAAACCGCAATAAGTTGTTTCCAAACGAATTTACTTAATTTCTTGAAACAGTCACACACTGTCGGGTATATGACAGTTGTTCTGTTCTCCCGGGCGCGGGTCGTCCGAAAAGGGTCACGCACACTCACGCACATGTGAGTATTCCAACTTTCCTTTCCCGCTTTTGCGCTGGTTTTTCGAGAACGACCTCTCGCCGCAATGAGTTTGTTTTGTTTGTTTGTCGGGCGCCCCCTTCTTTTGAGGCGATTGCGCCTGGCCTTTAGGGCCCGCCCAAGCACGCCCGTGAAAACCACAAAAGCGCCGAAAGCGCCGAACACAGAAAGAGCGCCGACAATCACAAGGGCGCCGACAACCACAGCGGCGCCGAAACCGAAAAGGAGCGCCGAGAACAAAAAGGGCGCCGAAAACCGCCACGGCGCCGACGACAAGAAAATGACGAGGAGGACGGCGACGAGGAGCAACAGGAGCAACTGCAAGCTGCTCCGCTCGCCCAACCACAGCGAGGACAACGCTGGCCAGGCCCAGGCCGTGAACAAAGCCCCCGGGGGCTCGGCGACCCCGCAAGTCCCCAGGAGCCCCAGGATCTCGGAATCCCTCGAATACCCAAGGAGGGCCCCGTCCACGGCGGAGGACCTCCCCTGGAAATTCTGGCCCGGAGTCCCTACGGGAGACCCTCCAACGTGGACAAAGCCCTCAGGGAGCTCGGCGATCCCGCAGGTCCTCCAGGAACTCCAGGATCTCGAGGGCCCCGTCCACGGCCGAGGCCAGATTCTCCACGGGAGACCCTCCGCCGTGGACAAAGCCCTCAGGGGGCTCGGGGCTCCCGCAGGAGGTTCCCCAGGAGCTCCAGCATCTCGAGGTCCACCAAATTCCTCGAAGGTTTTGTCCACGGCGGAGGGTCTCCCGTGGGGAATCTGAGCCCGATTCCCCACGGGAGACCCTCCGCCATGGACGAAACCCTCGGGGGGCCCGGGGCTCCCGCAAGTCCCCCAAGAACCCCAGGATCTCGGGGTTCCCCGAATCCCGCGAGGGCCCCGTCCACGGCGGAGGGTTTCCCGCGCGGGATCTGGGCCAGATTCCCCACGGGGGGCTCGTGGGTCTAGCAGGCCTCTCATGAGCCCCAGGACTACGGCGTCCCCCGAATCCCGCAAGGGCCCCGTCCACGGCTGAGGCAGATTGCCCACGGGAGACCCTTCGCCGTGGACAGGACACTTTGGTCGGGGCTCCCGCGGGAGGTTGCCCAGGAACTCCATGATCCCGGGGTCCCTCGAATCCCCCGAGAGCCCCGTCCATGGCGGAGGGTCTCCCGCGGGGAATTCGGGCCAGATTCTCCGCGGGAGACCCTCCGCCGTGGACAAAGCCCTTGGGGGGCTCGGGGCTCCCGCAGGTCCCCCAGGAACCCCAAGATCTCAGGGTCGCACGAGGGCCCCGTCTTGACGGCGGAGGGTCTCCCGTGGGGAATCGGGCTCCGATTTCTCACGGGGGACCCCCCGCCGTGGACAAAGCCCTCCGCCTGAACCAGGACTTCCCGAACAAATTCTGGTTTGGGGTCGCTCCTCAAACCAGACACTGTGCATGCGGAACAAGCACAAGTTTGGGGGGTAAAACGAGCTGTCTCTCGCCTTTTTCCGAATGGCCAAAACGGACCCCTGACTAACATGTTGTCTTTTCCACCTTTTTGGGAGCGCCCGAAATTGGCTAATGACTCACGTGATCGTTCCGAATGCGTTTTTTTCCAGATCTCTATGTTTCGACGTCGCTCACCAATTAGGTGGGGGAAACGACCCGGACATCCAAAAAATCAGGCGCCAAACCTACCAGGTTGTGGTTGACTGCACACCGTTTGTACTCACGCAAGTTGTAACGCCATTCGAGGCCTTCAAAAGAGGAGGGAGGAGAGAAGTGAAGGAAAAGGCTGAACTAGGACCCGGCTGAACTCAGACACGGATGAACTCAGACCTGGCTAAACTCAGTCCGAATTCAGCTGGGTCCGAGTTCAACCTGGGTCCTAGCTCGGCGGGTCCGAGGTTAGCTGGGACCGTCGTGGCAGCCGTTCTTTACAGAGAAGAAAGTCCACATTCATAAGAAGCACCCCGACAAGCGAAGCCATTTAGTAGACGCACCCAAGGAAGTAATCGAACCTGGCAGGGCTGTTTAGCGAACGCCCAGGGCCGTTTAGCACACGCCAGTTATCGGGGTCGGGGTGGTTGTTCCTGAAGGGGCCCCAGGACACACAAATAAATACACACAAATAAAAAGATTCCCAATATTTTCCCATATTTTCTGGGTTTCTGTCTTCCCCCCCACTTCCCATATTTTCCTATATTTTCTGGGGAATCGAGGATTAATTGTGCCTGTGTGTTTCTTCTCCTCCTGAGTTCCTCCTTTGATTATTGGCCCCTCAGGGTGAGAGATGGAGAAGCATGGAAGGAGGGGGCGCGGCGGGGCCGCGCCGAGGTCCCAGTCCTCGGCGAGGCGGCCGCGGTGGACGGCAGCGTGCCTCCCGGCGTCCGGGAGGGAGAGGCCTTCCGAGCACTCAGGGTGACCGCCCGCCACGTCCTCGAGCCTCGAGAGGCCCGCGGCGCGCGCGCATCACAGCCCCGAGCCGCGAGCTCCGAGCCTCGAGCCCTCGAGCCCCAAGCATCGATCCCCCATCCCTCAAGCCTCGATCGGTCGCACGCTTGTATTGACGAACGATCAACACGCACCTATACCCATAGTGGGGACGGAATGAGCTATGGGTGCGTGTTGTCGGATGAGGGTCCCCGCTCGAACGGGAGCCTCCCCAGGGGTCCGACAACCCGCACCCATACCCATAGCCAGTCCTTCCCCCTCCGACCTCCCTATGGGTATGGGTGTGTGTTGTTCGTTCGTCATGCATGGATTGCGGATCCGCGGATCTGGCGCGTGGGCGCCAGATCCACGGATCGGGAAGGCACCCCGCGAAAAATGCAGCCGATGCTGCCCGAGTGGGCGACGGAGGGAGTGGACTCCGTGTGGAGGCGGGAGCCGTTGCCAACCGACGCGCCCGAGTCCATGTCCGCGTTTCCTCGACTCGATCCCTCGAGGCTCCGAGCCTCGAGCCCTCGAGCCCCGAGCCTTGAGCCCTCGATGCTCCGAGCCTCGAGCCCTCGAGCCCTCGAGCCCTCGAACCTCGAGCCCTCGAGCCCACCGTGTCTACCCTCGATCCCTCGATCTCCGAGCCCCGAGCCCTCGAACCCGGAGCCGCGATATCCCGACCCTCGCAAATGCGCCGTTTTCGCTGGCCGCGGCGGCGGTCGCACCGGCAGCGGCGCGCCCCACGCGACGGGCGCTGTGGGGCGGCCCACCGCGCGGCGAGTGCTTGGCGCCCTCGGCCTCCCTCCTCCCTCCTCCTCCTCCTCCTCCCCCTCCTCCCCCTCCTCCTCCTCCTCCTCCTCCTCCTCCTCCTCCTCCTCCTCCTCCTCCTCCTTCCGTTACTCCTCCAACTCCATCCTCCTCCTGGGCGCTGTCGCCGCGGGTGGAAGTTCAGACGGTTTCCCATGGTCGCCTCGTCGGAAAGGCGAGGCCATGTCCGATGAGGTTGGCGCTGCGCGTCGACTGCTTCTGTCCATTCGGGCCGAGGTTTGTGGTCCCAGGGATGTCCTGCATCGGCGCAGACATGGTCAGCGAGCATGTTGATTGCTGTGTCTGCGACGTCGTGCACTTGTTCTGCTTGTCCTGCTGGGTCGTGGTTGGCCCGCGCGTTGAAACGTCCTCCATTCAGTCCTTCTGCCACCTTGGCGTTGGTGTGCGCTGTGACGGGAAAGCCACTGCGGACGCCCGTCCGCGCGCATATCCCAGCGCGCGCCCATATCAGCGCTGCCCATTCTGACGTGGTAGAGGCTGCCCTCACGTAGTCCGCGATTGTGGTCGCGCTCGACGCACGGTCTGGCATCGCGCCCAGGTGGGCGAAACCGTCTCTGTCCTCCACGGTGATGGCCACTGCCCGGGCGTCCTTGTTCGAGCCTGCCTGGAGCGCGCCGTCGGCGCGTAGGTGGGGTCGTTTGACCGTGCCGCGAGTTCGTGAAGGCACCAACTCCAGGGCCACGATGGCAACTGGGTCGAACCATTCATGCTCATGTAGTTCTGGGAAATGGGTAATGCGCTGGGGTAGGGATGTGCGTCGCGCGACTTCAATGCTCGGCTCTGCCACCGCGAAAATGGATCGAACCGCTTTTCCCGTCTGATGCCCCTGGGGTGGGCCATCCAGGGCCCTCTCCCACGGAGCAAGCATCGCCGTTAAGTTGGACACTTCTATGATGGAGCTGAACAGTCAGGGCTGGCGTTGAAGCAGCTCCGTCGAATCCCGCTGGCGGGCGAGAGACGCCGTCGCTGCCGGGTCCGTGATCTGCGGTCGTCTCTTCCGGTAGGCGCTCAAACTGTCGCAGTGGTTGGAGTAAGCATCCCCCATCCTGTACTCGTCCTCATGCGCCAGATGGGTCTTGACGGCCGTCCTGCGCCGCAGTGGGGGAGTCGGTGCTCGCTGGCGCCTTGAAGCGCGATCGAGGGTGTGGTCGTCTTGTTTTCACTACATCGTCCGCCGCTCCCCTCCCCTGAAGCGGTACCCTGTTAGTTGGCCTTGCAGTCCGTCGGAGCTGCGCCATGGCAGGTCTGGGTCTATGCGGTTGGCCCCGTGGTTCGTCCACGTGCGTTTACTCGCCTGCCCATTGAAACTGCATCGGGTTGCGTGCCCCTTGCGGCGGGCGCGCTAGTCTGGGAGCGCGCTCGCAGCGCATGGCGTTCCAGGCCCACCGTTGGCAGCGACGTCCCTCCCTCGTGGCGCTGCCGCGTGACCGTCAGTCCGATGATGAGGCAGCTCCAGCGCCGTGGGCTGCGTCCTCGCTAGATGCCAGGTCCGTCGTTGCATCGGTGGAGCACGGCGCAACGTTGCTCCAGGACGAGGAGGAGGAGGAGGAGGAGGAGGAGGAGGAGGAGGAGGAGGAGGAGGGGGAGGAGGAGGAGGAGGAGGAGGAGGGGGAGGAGGAGGAGGAGGAGGAGGAGGAGGCGGAGGAGCACGGAGTTCTCTGTGGGAGGACTCGCCGGGCCCGAACGCTGCCCGCAGTGTCCTCCGCGCGCCGGCGCCTCGCGCCGACGGCGCCGGGCGCTTGTCAGCCGGCGGCAGCGACGCGCCCGTGCCAGGCGTGCCAATGGAGACCCTCTGCGGGGAGATCTGAAGGGGCCCTGGGACACACAAATAAATACACACAAATAAAAGAATCCCCCATATTTTCTCATATTTTCTCGGTTTTTGTCTTCCCCACCACTTCCCATATTTTCCCATATTTTCCTGGGGATCGACGATTAATTGTGTCTGTGTGTTTCTTTCCCTCCTGAATCTCCCCCGCGGCGGCGACTTCGTCGCCCTTTCTTCCCTTCGGGGAGGGCGCGTCCACCGGCGCGGTTTGTGCGGCCAGTTCAAGCTGTCCTGCTGGCGTCGAACCAGTCGCCCACGCGTCGGGCGTCGGCGATTCCAACGTCGCGCGCCCATCGCTCCCTGTTGGGATGTCGCGGGCATCTTGGTCGCCGGTCGAGGTGGGAGCGCGGTGCCCCCCGACCGGGTTTGATCAGATGTTCTAAGAGGCGTCGGATGTCGTTGGACTGATGGCACGACGGTTGGGTTGTCCTCGCTGTCGCTGGGGAACTCGGTTGTCAAGGCCTTCTCGACCACGCCCACCATCTCCGCGTTGTCGAGGCGACATTAAGCTCGCGCATCTGCTTGTTGAGCGTAAAGATTCCCTCGATGTAGCTTTTTCTGCATGTAGGCCTGGATCTCGCGTTGGCAAGCCTCCCGCCACTCCGCCGTGCCGATCGCCGCCCGTAAGAACACGAACTGCACTTGTCTTTCAGCCTGGGCCGCGTGGAGTTGAGCTCGCTGCAATTGCTCATGTCATCGGGTGCGCTTCGCATGTGCTGCTCGCGCTGTTGGGTTTGCTCGGCGTCTCTGGCTCGCACAAGAATTTCGATCTGATGTGCCCTCCTCCAGCGCTCCTCCTGCGCGTTTTGGATTGCGGCCTCCATCTGTCTCTCTCGGTCTTTCATCTCGGGGTGAGATTGTAAAACAAATTGTCGGACACCCTCCACTGGTGGTTTTGCTGGACCTGCTCGTTGATGTCATCGCTGGTCTGAGCCTCGATGGAAGAAATGCGCTGCCCAGCCTCCTGCATCTTGTCGCAGTCGGTCTGCCCATATACGGCTGTTTTCCACGTTGCGCAACTGGCGCTGGAGGCTTGCGCGATCGGCGCCCTGCTCGGCGAGTCTCTGTCGAGCCCTCCTCAGCTCGTTCTGGATGCCGGCGATGTGGTCGTGATCGCCGAGGCGGTGGTCGAGCTGCTTAGGGCGGCTGGCTGTCTTTCTGGCGGCGTCGAGATCCTCCTCGGCCCAGTGTAGAGACGCCGTGGTCTTGGACAGGAGGTACTCGTGGTGGACCGACGTCGTCTCGGTCGGGATCGAGGCGTTCGCGAGCTCCTCCTCCGACTCATCATGGTGGCGTTTGGCTTGTCTGGATGGTCGTCGTTGCTTCTTCTGGTCATCCTGTGCATTTTTCATCTGCTCGTAAGTCTCTTTGCTGGTCCTCCAGCTCAGCTACAGCTTTCTTTCTCGCCTTGTTGTTCGCCTCGTTGGTCGCGTCGACGATGTCGAACTCCTCCGTGGCCTCGTTCTCACTGTTCTAGGTGTCCTGGGCACGGCGTTTGTTATCCTCCGCGAGGGTCTCGAGGAGTGCTCCCGCATCCTTGCCTTCGGTAGTCTCGCCAGCACTGTTCTGCCTTCTCAGGGCTGGTGTTGGGGCCCTCCTGTGAGAACCCTTACTTTGTGGGGTATATGCTTCGTCGTAAGCGGCTCCCGCGTCGTTGTGGGCGCTGTCCCGCGCGAGGCCGATGTCCCTCTGGATGGCGTGGAGCTCGTGAATCTTCACTTCGAGCATGAGCATGTATCTGTCGACCTCTCTCTGTTGGCCCTGGGCGTGCTCATAATCTCCCTGGTCTGCCTGATGCGGTCGATATCACTCGCCTGTTGGGCGAGCGGGAGATTGATGATCATCATGTCTTTGCTTAATCAAGGCGATCTGTGCTTCGGCGTCTCTCGTGGGTAGGGCACAGCGCTGCTCTCCATTGTGGAGGCTGCTGGTCGCGATGGCTCGAGGACCTCGATTCTCTTCCACTCCTCCGTGAGCCTGGGGCCGTTCTCATTCCCAGTCTAGCCTCGGCGGGGCGTGCACCCTGCGCGTGGGCATGGCGTCGCCGATGCTGATGTCGAGTCGGTCGTTGTCATC